TCTTTTTTATTTTATTTTTATTCTATTTTTATTAGAACATCCTAATACAAAAAGCAAGATAATATAATTACCCGAATTTGAGAAATAAATAATTTTCTGAGAAAATTATTTTTAAAAATACAATTTTCTTCCTCACTTTCTAACCGAATTTAACAAATCAAATCATCCAATTCTTTATTCATTAGATTTTTTTTTTTTTTACTGCAACCAAAAAAATTATCCATTATTTAATTGTAGTTTATCACGACCAATAACTTAATAAATTTTCTTTCAAATATGTCCACCGACGAACAGCAGATACCATCAACATCTACAACAAAAGAAATCCAATATGAACAATATGAAATTGAAAATGATGATTCCGACAGGGTACATCAAAATTTACAAGAAGTACAACAAGAAGATATGCAAGTAGAAACACAAAAAGAAGATATGCAAGAAGTAGAAGCACGAGAAGAAGAAGATATGCAAGAAGAGGCGCAACAAGAAAAAGTATATGATTATGTACAACAGCCAATAGCTTCTTCTTCAACAGCTGAATCATCAAATCATACATTGCGTGATGATAATTTGGAACAACATAATCCTGCGATGCAACTTCTTAATAGACGTGGCATACCGATAACCTATTCAAAACTTTCAGACCGGTATACTTTCTCATTTTCTGCTGATTTAATATCCCAGGTATGTACAAGTCGAATGTTAATGTATGCTATTCAAAAATGTTAACTTTTTATTAAATCATCAGTTAACGTCCTTATATATATTTTTTTTTATTATTCCCCTTTATAGTTCGATAAATATCGAGCACATATGCGGGAAAGTATACGGCAGGAATTAGATGTAAAGGCGAGTATATATATATGATGAGATTCACTATGAGAGGCGATATATTAATACTTTCGTTCATCTTTACAGAAAATTTACGCAGAGTCTGATAAGAATAAAGAAGAAATATTTAGTATACATCAAGTTCATCATGGGCCTGCAGCATCTGTACATTCAAATTCACAAGAGACATCAACAAGAAACAGATCGACAGATGACGCACCAAAATCTTGTTTACCGACAAAATCTTCAAATAAGCATAATGGTGGAAAGTCTTTTAGAATTTCATTTTTGCGTGGCAAGACGTCAAAAAATCAAAATCAAAATCAAAATCGGAATGCGACAACAATCACAACAACTACGGCAACTTTGTCAGATCTTGATACCTTATCATCAGACGTTGAGCGACAACGTCGTACAGAATCCGATTTTGCAATTAATCAAAGGAGACATAAATCAAGATTGACATTTATCAAAAAATTACCATTTGTTTCAAGTTGTGCTGGTAATGATGAATAATAACCGTAGTGTTGATTCATCGTTATTTATTTATTTATGTATTATTATT